CCATTGACCAATCTCGGCTGCTTAATCGCAAGCATCCTTGTTATTTCATCCAATTGGTTGCAGTAGACATCCGCTGTAATCCACTGAGCTGGTTTCATGAAACTATCGTAGATAATACCAGCACTGCACCACTAGACAGACACTGTTAGCTTTCTTGAATGGATATTTGGTTTTGGACTGTGTTTTGGCACTTCATCTTTATCCAGCTGTTGTGCTGAACACTTGGTGATTGTCAAATAGAATCCATTTTTCATCACACGTAACAATACAGTGTAGAAATGGTTTGCCTTTATGTCTTGACAGCAAAGAAAGGCAAACTTCAAGATGATTTCTCTTCTGACGCTGATTTAATTCATGTGGAACCCACCTATCCAGCTTCTTTACCTTACTGATTTGTTTCAAATCGTCCAATATTATTGGAAACGTCAAACCTTGCTAATTCACAATTACGTTGAGATGGATTTGTTTCCACTATAGTTTTCAACTCATCATCATCCACCTTGGTCTCAGGTCGCCCATGTGGCTCATTTTCAAGATTAAAATCACCAGAATGAGACTTCTCAGAACATCGACCTACTGTGTGTTCATTAGCCGCAGATATTTTGAGCTGTCTGCGCTGCACTAGTTCCACAAGGGAACTCATGTTCAAAAATAACACGAATTTTTGACTTATCCTTGATTTCACAAAAATTGCTCTTAAAAAAAATTTGAAAGGTAAACACAAGTCAAAATGTGCATTTGAAAGACTCAAGATTTGCCTTCACAATAAACATAAAAGTGTCAAAGTGAAATGTCAGATCAGCTGTCAAACTTAGTACTTAAGGAAATCGGACATTTCATACTTGATAACCTAATATTAGTTTAAGATGCTACTTAAAAGCTGAGAGCCGCCTTCTGCCTCCCTTAAGAGCTGTGGAAGGTCTATTAACAACCAGGTGTACAGATTTTAAAACTAAGTAGCAAGGTAGGTTTTTCTTTCCAGTGCTTGAGGTAAATAGGAAATAGTTGTAAAGCAAATTGGAAAAATAGGTAAGCAAGTCCTACAAGTGAAGTATATACCTACAATCCCAAGGCATTGTTGTTGGGAGGAGGGGTGTTGATGTTTGCCTTTCCATATTCCCCAATACAAAAAAGCTAAAATGTATTTGCAGAGTTTCTGAACTAACTTCATCTCTTAAATTGCTTTATCAATAAAATACAAAAACCTAATCTGAAAATCCCTAGGAAAAAAAAGGTTCAAGAATAACATAAACTAACAAGCATGGCTTAAAGATATTTTCTTCATTTACTAGAGGAGGAAAAATAGCAAAAACAGAAACTCACGAACTCCCCTAGTTTATCAGATTGAAAAGCCAGTGAAGGAGGAGTATTACTTCAGTGCAGTTTCTACTCCTGTGTTCTCTCCAAGTGGTCCACCAGAAACAGAAATCTTGTTAAAAAAGACCTCTCTGATTCACATGCATGTGAATGGCTCTGGGGAATTAAAACCTGTTTGGCCTAAGCTTTACCATAATGCTATGTATGTTGAAAACATAGTATCTGGTAACTTTCTAAAGAATCGGTGCTTTGTGAAACACACTGTGGAAAACAATTCAGTCTTCTATAGAGATTCCATCATAGTCTGCATTTTCATTTGGTTTAGAAAGCAATGCAGGTTCTTTCAAACCTCCATAAGCCAAGTGCTGCCCCTTTCTTCGCCTTTACCCTAAAAAATCTGAGAATCCATTGGTGTGTAGTGTCTCACAGTGCCAACAAGCCAGATATTGGCAGTAACAACATACGTGCTTGGGTGGTAATATAGTCTGCTTAGACAACAGAGGAGGGAAATGCCATAATGGACAGATCTCCTTTCAGCACTATCCCCATTCTTCCAAATCTCAAGGTGTAAGCCTCACTATAAATTACAAAGCTACTATTCCCCTCTTTAAGAAGAACGTATAGCTAAAGAAAAACTGCATATGCAAATAATACCATATTCATTTTTTTATTTAACTTGGGGATGGAATGGGGATAGCATACATTTTATTTATACAATATTTAACAATCACTTATCCAAGGTGGGGTTTTATGGGGATTTTTTTTTTAGCTTTCTGTTAAATACTTGCACCAAAAAATAGCAAGTATGATTTGACAGTAGTACAACAACCTGTGCCCAAAACACTGACAAGAAATACAGAGTAAAGCTAAAATAATTGCTTACCAATACTTTGAGAGGTAACAAATAGGATATGGTTGAGACTGCATAAAAAATGTACTGCTGGTTGAATATCTGAGGTAAATGATGTTCAGTCAAGATGCTACTTGTATCATTTTGCCCATAAATCAGTTGTTAATTTTATGCACATCATACCAAATGTTCCTAAAAGTAATTTTTCAAAAAAAGTAAAAAAAGAGAAAACTGGAAAATATCTATGATGACGCATTAAAAAAAAGCTAACCAGTTTATTCCAGTAAACTATCATTTGGCCAGGGTTTTTTCCCTATCACCTGCATTTTACTTGTAGCTGTTACTTAGGGGTGAAGAAATAGGGCAGAAGAGATTCAAAAGTGTTTTGTTGTTTTTTTTTTCCGGATTGTAGTTTCAAAATATCACCATGAAAGACAGTGCAAGTTCATGGGACCAATAATTGTGAGGCACAGTCTCTGTTCTGGAATTCACAAGGTACCTGTAATAAACATTCAAACAAGAGTCACACATCACATGCTAAAAAAACTGCCTAGCATCTAAAATACATAAAAGAGCTGTGCAGGGAATAGATTTTGAATAAAGCCAATCACTGGTCAATCCAGGAGTCCTATGGCAGTTGATCGTAAAGCATTCCTTACAAGGAGATCTGGGCAAGGTGAAGAGTATAAGTTAGAGCAGCAGTTGTGATGGGCATCAGAAAGGCAAAATACAAGATGAATCATGAGGAGCACCATACACATGAGGAAAAAGTTATTGGGGGTCTCAGTTTGCCCCAAAACAAATCACCATTTTTCTCATTCTTTGATCTTTCTTTTTGCCAGTATCCCAACTCAAACTTTTTGTTAACTTGCCCACTCCGCACTGACTGTAAACCAAACACTAAATACCCTGCAAAAGACTTTTAACAAGACTAGGTATCAGGACAGGTAGTCAGTCACTGGAACATTCTTATTTTACTGCCTATAAAAAGTTTCTTCTATTAATATGGTTTTCAAAAGGATACAGGTTTTAAAATTGGTTAGCTATAGTTAAGTACAATACCCAGCATTTCTAGAAATTTTTCCTAACTTGTAAAGAAAGCACTTTATATTGTGAATAATTGGTTTTATAAAATTTATCTCTAGTGCTCACATAAGCCAAACATTCATCACGATATTCCTTGTTTATTTTTCTTTTGATTTTTTTTAACTTTTAAAAAAAGAGTTAAATGTTTACAACAGGTAGAAATTCATCTTCAGGAGATCAGCGATTTTCTTGTATGCACATTCTCAGTATTTTCCCTTCTTGATTAGTTTCAAAATGGAAGCAAAACCGAATCAAGAAACTGAGAGTCCAAGTACTTTCTCAAATAAAGAGGTGAACTCAACATTGAAATGGGAATTCTTAGGAATACAATGAAACCTTGGGTACATAAGTGACCAAGACCACGAACGGTTCTTTATGGTGTGTGGCACACAGACAAGAATGCTATTACTCTTCTTTCCCTCCCTGCTTAGAGTCTGTTGACCTATGTATTATTTATAAATAACATAATTATTCCCAGAGATTAGGTGCATATTATAAGTGTAGTGTACTGTGTGGTCAAATAACACATTCACAGTGAGCTCCTGATAGTGACATGTAAAAAATTCTTTTATAAAATTAATGTATGGATTTTAAAAATGACCTGACAAAAGTACACAGCATAATACTGGCTGATTGTTGGTTAGTAATCTGGAAATTCAGGAAATTTATGTTTTACTTTGGCCTGTATAAATTTGAGGAAGAATCCAATTATAATTCTATTGTTTTGAAAAGCACTTTGGCACCTACCTACCATCAGTTCCATATTCTTAGCAAGGATAAAGCATGAACTATCCTAATTTACTATCAGAGTTAGTTGTGAAAGAAATTTGGGGGAGGAGGTTAGGCTATGTTATGTACATCAACATTGGTTACCTCTAAATGTCATTGCATATTTTAAGTTATAAGTTTAATTTGTTATCCCTGATTTGTTTCAAAGCAGTAACATCTGAAATCTGTGCTTAAAGTTTAATATCTCTATCCTAGGATAATTCCTTATATTCACAGACATCAAATATTACTCTGCCAAGATGGCACCAAGCAGAAGTATAGTGATAAAGTTACAAGTCTCCAAGCAGAGAGTGAGGAATTCTGGGTAATGACACTTCCTGAGGTGATCCTAAACAGTGATAAAGAATGTCCCACACAGTTAGGTGAAAAGAAATACACTACAAATTTACATATGTAAATAGGAAAAAAAATCTATTTTAAAAGATAAAATGAAGAGCTTTCCAGTGTCACAGCTCACTTAAAAAAATTTAAATCATGCTTTAAGTTTTCAAATATTCCCCAAACACAGCACACCTAAAAAAAATACTTATGTAAGTATGCAATATTTTGGGAACTAGATATAAGATGGAGCTTTAAAACATGGGAAGAAGGGGAAAATGATACCATCTTTTCATTTCAAAAAACAGCACTTTTTTTTCCCTAAATTACAAGCCAGCACAAGAAAAGCTAAAACACTGCTTTACAAATGGCCACTTACTGTTGGCACTAAGCATAGCTTACCTTTTTTTCCTTAAATAACACAGTGAATTTCTTACAAAACATGGATTGATTTATTATTCAAATTTCATTAGTGTTTTCAATTTTATAATTTAGCAACCGTGGAACTGAGGTATACCTTGTTGAGGGAGGTTAAAGTAATGCTTGGAAGCCTCTTTACTGTACCCCACTTTCATGACTTTGTTTATGTACACAGAACAGCAGCACACTAAACATTCACAAGCTGTGTCATATTGGCATTACAATAGTCATTTATAGAAACAACAACAGCAAATGCAATAAAAACAAGTTACCCTTTTTAAAATCTGAAATGAAAAGTTTTTGATTTTAAAAAAAAATAGCAGTAGTTCATTTAAGGAATTAGTGTCTTCTGACAGACATTAAGAAATCTGATGTCAGTTTTCAAACACTCCATTAGCCAGGTCCAAAAGATCCTTGATTTGGAGAGGGCCACATTCTTCATGTGTACTTTTTCAAAAGTTTCTTTATAGAGTTTGCAACTTTTCTCAGTCTCGTGTCCTTCACATCTGTGCTGTAGGCAATGCAGTAAGTCTCCCAGAGCCACATTTTTCAACAAAGGTCTTTCTTATATTTCCAGGAGCCATCCTACTCATTTCACACAGGCAAAAAAACTGTAAGCAGTTTCGTTAGCTTAGCAGCTCCAGTTCAGAGTCCCATTTCTTAGTGTGTACAGATGGTGCAACCATCATAGACTAGATTCTTTGGGAGGAAAGTCAACATTTGTCACCATTGTGACCACTGTTACAATGTCCTCTGTGGTAATAATATTTGTTAGTCTTTGCATCTGGGTAATTCTTTCACCTACACATCCAGCTGATAACCTGGCTTCTGCGTCGTGATCCCAACATTCTTCTATTGTTTCACAGAGCATTGCCATTCCCTAAAAGGAAAAAAACATACTCAAACACCACAGCAATTTTTGTTTTCTTTGAGGAAACAATAAAATTTTCATAAAGAAATTACTATTTTTGTGGTTCAGAGAAGTTTCAAGATTAGCCAACTCTGAGACTGTTGGTCAACATTCACTTTTATTTAGTATGTGCAGGACCATGAGGAAAAGCACTAAGAGAAACCATTTATTTTTAGCATTGGAGACTACCATATCAGGAATTTTTCCTTTTAATTCCAAAAAAATCTCTATCCATTTGTTCATAAACCAGGTCATTTCAATGCTAACCCTTGTGTTAGGCTCAAAATCAAGGCTGGGGGGGGGGCAGATTCTATCAATTTTTTTATTTTCTCAGTTAATATCGGCATTTCTATCTTGCAATTAAATAGAGGATTAGAAGGCCATCACTGAGGATTCCCTACCTGGTTTTATCCATGTTTCTAATTATCTTTAGACCAAAAGTTCCAGAGCAATACTGTTTCATCCTCTGCCTAGTCTCTAGTTTGAAAGCATTCTTAAGGATTTGAAAGTCTAAGCCCAAATCAAAAGGCTAACAAACTCCCATGGAGGGGAGGAAACTTGGTGCTTAATAAACCTTTAAAAATGGTATCATATTGGAAGGTGATGATCAGTAAAGATACCCAACTATCCACAGGCTCAGAGTCAGGCATTCCTAGTACCTGGGAAGCTTCCTAAATAGAAGACATACTCATCAGCTCAGGACCATTGAGACAAGAGCCTTCTAAAACTCTATGACTTCACAGTTTCCCTCAGGGGTATACAGGCATAGGCCTCATTCTGCCTCTAGAACTCTAGTACAGATTATCCTGTATGCATATGCCCTCCCTAGAAAATCCTCCCAGAAGAAAGAAATGTGCAGAGATAAGTCACCTGAAAAGTGTTTACTGGAATTTCAAATGAAAAGCTAACTGTAACTTACAGCATGTTTCTGCCAATAATCCCTTAAAACGGGCCTCTTTTTTTTATGCACAACAACTTCCTGCATGTCTTCAAGAGATGGATGCTGGCCAATTTCCTCCTCAAATGGCAACATGTACTCATCTACAGGTCCTGAAATGTAAAAAAAAAAAAAAAAAAAAGGAAGAAAATCATTTTAATTAAAATCTTCCTGACTTCCAAACTGGTACAGACTTTCTAAAATATACTCCTATCACCTTTTTCCAACTGTTTATATGCTATAAGGACAAGAGAAAAACAGACTCTCAACTGTACTTATACCACAGTGTGACCAAAGTCTCATTTATGGGAAATGAAAAGGTCTGTGATATAACCCCGTTAAGGTTTGTGCAAGGAGCTTTCTTATCTACTGCATGAAGACTGCCTATGTCCATCTGCACATAGAATATAGGAACAATTGATATTTGCAAATCAAGGATATAATACCCCTTGTAAGGTACCCAACTCCTTGTAATTCAGATCAGAATATTTACAGGGGTGCTTCCATCTCTGGAGACTCTTGGTTCAATCTGTTATATCTTTGTTTTTCGGCATACCCAAACCTCCTACATGCCCCGCATGAGGAATTACCTCAGAGTCATCTTTTCTCTGCCCTTCCTCACAATAGCTGCCAAAAGTACATGTTAATTTTTTTTTCAATCACAAACATACACCCTCCAACCAGGGTTTTCAACATGTCAAAATGTGCCTTCACAGACAAACAAGATTTTTTCAAAAATATAAATAATTCCTTTTTCCTTAGGCCTACTCAGATAAAATAGAAAAATGCATTTAGGAGTTAATAATAACTAATACTCAGTGAGCACCTATCCCAATTAGGAACTTTACATATATTATATACTTCATGGGGTGAATATGGCATTACCTCTAGTTTATAGATAAGCAGCTCAGAAAAGTTACATAATTTGCTCAAGAGTATATAGCTGTTAAGTGGTAGAGTTGGAATTTGAATCAATCTTTCTGAATTATTCTGAAGTCTGTGATTTCAATCACTGTATTATCTTGCACTTGACAGAAACTACTGAGCAATTTCAGTGACCAGATGTGTGTTTCCATAGCCATAAACCTTGTGTAAGTTCTTAAAATGCACCAAATACTCCTGGATAAAATACAATGAATCATGAAGGCGTCATCTAACTTAATGCTCTTCAAATGTAGGACTGCTCGCTGACCAGACAGTGGCCTCTGCTTGAGCACTTCCAGTGACAGAGGTACCGACATTCCAAGGTGTCTATTCAAACTCTCATGTGGTACACAGGTCAGCAGCGTTGGTACTGACTGGTAGCTTGTAAGAAATGTAAAATCTCAGGCCTCAACCCAGACCTACTTGAGTTGGAATCTGAATTTTAAACAAGATCCCCAGGAATTTGGCACGCTCATTAAATTTGAGAATCAATAAATTTGAAAACACCCACCTTAGTAATGTTCACATTGTCCCCTCTGTCCCCATTTCTGACTTAAGAGTCAGAAATGCCTAACTCTACAATTAATTCTTAACACATACAAAGCATTTAAGAAAAGTAAGCATCTATCTCTTTTTCCAAAAACATTTCCCTGATAACACCTCTTTCCCACAAACAGCAACTTCTCCTCTAAACTCCCATAACACACCCTTACATTTCTCAGGTATTGCATTAATCCAAAAACATTTATTGAATACCTATGTACTGGGCAGTGATCAAGATAACTCATATTTACTTTAGATTCTAGAGTTCATTATCCAGGATGTATTTTATCATTTTAAATAAAGTGCATATTACTTGAGGACAGGGCCTTGTGTGTCCCCCATAACACCTAATCCAATGGTTTGCAATGTAGAGTTCATATTGTAAGTTCTTATGAAATATATTTTCCTGTAACATCTACCATCTGACCTACTTCTGCTTCCATAAATGCACATGATAAATGTAATTCCTCTTCTACCTTAAGCAAAATACTCTGAACAGGTTATTCTTCTTCCTATAGACTTCTAAGCTAAAATTATTCCCAGATTGCTTCAACCTTTTGTAAGTTTGAGATCGACTCCCAAGCCAAACCCCCAATCTAGAAGAATGAATGGCTGCCCATTTCTGAGTACTAAATTCCCTTTAAAAATAGAGTACCCAAATCAAATTTCATATTCCAGTCTGCTCTACACTGAGAGCCTGTTACAGTACTAAGAAAAATAAAATATTCTTAATAACATAGGTTAAGTTGCTTAAACCTTTTTAAATATTCAAAATTACTTCTATGGTCTTTGACAATCACAGGAAGTTTTTAGACAATTACAAATTAAAATAAAAAATCAGATCAAGCTCATTTACATTTGCTTGGGAGTTGAGCAGTCAGCAAGTTTGTCTTACGTTACTCAAAAAAAAGTTCTGCAACATATATAAAGAGAGAGTACAGACCTTATGAAGGAACACTAAAGATAGAGTGCCTGAAACACTGGTTTTGTCACACTAGGAATACAATCTTCAGGTTTACTCCAATAAATAAATAAAAAGCAAATATTTGCAAGACGTGAACAAGGACTTCAATAACAAGAACAAAGAAGAGCAGCCGTTTAGCACCAAGGAGCTAAAGGTGCTAGGGACTGTGACTCATGTTCACAATGATGTCTATATCAGGTTGAAGCTTTAAGGAGGTGGAATTTAACCTGCAGTACACCCAAACACATGCTCACAGTTCTGTGTCGAAGAGGACAGACTAAATTTAATCTGGTTAGTCAGGTTTATGCTGGCATTACCTGAGTGCTGGAAAGACTCAGCCTGAGTGTCTTGGAAGGCAAAGTCCCTCCCAATCTACATGCATCTCTCACCGCAAGAGTTGGCTTTAGAACCTGGGGGGCAAGACCCACATGACCTAACCAAACAGCAGACCCCTCCCTACATGTGGATCAGCTTCAAATCTAGGTTTCACCATTTAATGGCTTGAGGCTAAAAGAGGCAAGCTACTTAGCTTCTCTGAGTCTCAATTTCCTCATCCTAAACAGATAATAACTACCTCCTGAGCTGAATCAGGAAATAAATTAAGGTTATGTGAAGTATCCAGGAAAACATTTGGCAATGGTAAAGGATCAATACACACGAGTTCCTTTCTCCTCCTGCCCCTCCCTTTACTCCTCTGCCTCCTGAAGTCTCTACCACCTCTTGGAGTCTATTTAAAAAAATTTGTACTTTAAGGTATTACCTTTGAGTGTAATCATCCCTTTTCATACATGTGCAGTAGGCATATATATCTTTAAAATATTTTTTCCCTTACCATCTGCAGCAGTACAGCGAGAAGCCAGTTCCCACAGGACTAATCCCATGGCGTACATATCTATCCTCAAAAATGCATCCCTTTGGAAGTTTATAGCACCCTCTAATACCTCTGGAGCCATATACCTCCGGGTACCAACCTGAAAAAGACGTTGAAAGCAAACAGTACTCATTCATTAACTTTATGAACTAACATTTTATGATTTTGTAAAAAGACTCAAAACCAAATGTGGTCTATTATCAGGGTAAGGTAACTAAATTATGACCACAAGACTATAATGTATATATAGTAAGATCCTTCCTGATACTTAAAAAAATATGTCAACAGACACTATCCTGGTACAGGCTTATAAGTTTAGGGGTTTTTTCCCCTTCTCGAAGCAATCCTAACACATTGCAGTGACTGTTAGCTGGGAGAAGGATGGAACAGAAAAGAATGCTGCATATACTTTTCAACTCTACCTTTGCATATTGTTTGAGATGTATTTTTAAAAAAAAAACAAAACTTTTTGAGGTCTTTTTATCTGTATTTAAAAAATGAATAAAGTGTCGTAAAAAGAATTAGCCAAGTAAAAGACGGACAGACTTTTTTAAAAGTTCTATTTGTACAAAATCCATGTATTTATTTATTCATGAATTCTTCTGCCTTAGAGTCCTTTATTTATATCTGTCCCCAACAATTTGGTATTTCTCAGTACTGTAACTATGGTTACTAAATTAGTAGAGCTAGCTTTGGTTGGTATTTGACAACATTCATGTATGAATGCTTAAAAAATGTTTGTGAGATAGATGGGTAGATCACAAATACACTTGAGTTATAATAGATCTAGGGAGCAGTCTAGATATTGGTATTTCCATAAAGCTCCATCCTTAGGTGACTGTGATCTCTACTCTAGAGACTACAAGTTGGACAATTATATACAAATATACATATAAAAGAGATATTTGAAAAAATAAGTACATATCACTAAGACTAAAGTTCAAGATTTTAATTCATTTAATAAGGAGAGTACTTAAAGAAAAAAATGTAGGTTTTTTTCCTATTCTGAATAATTATTTTAATTGTACTATATTTCCCAAAAGCCTACTTTTCTCTTAAAGATAAATGTATGCCATCCAATGTGCCTCTTTTATTAATGAGATTATGGTTTATCTACTTTTTTAGTGTAAAATGTCCTCTCTTTTATAAGTGTTCTTTCTTTGCAATACATAAAATGTGCAATTTCTTCCAAATATTTTTGAAATTTTCTAGTCCATGAAATCTAAAGTCAAGGAGCAACTACTGTACTGTAAACAATTAGTTATTTTTACCTCATTATATGGAACCCAATTGTGAGGGAGTTAAAAGATGATACAATGAGTCCCAAATTTTTTTCTCAAAAAAATAAGGGAGGGGTGCTTATGGGTACCAAAGAATGAAAGTATGCCCAAAATTTAGTCTTATCATAGTCAATCATTCAATTAGCTCAGAAGTTTGTCCTAGGCTTCCTACACGATCTCCATCTTGGTAATATTCTCTACCACACTGCCTCCATTCCCATACATTATACATTTGGGTCAAGTTTTCTAGAGCTATATGACCGCTGACCATTACCCTAAACTAAATTTTTAAATTGCTACTCAGTATTGCCAAAATTTATTGTGCCATGATTGTTTAAAACTGTGTTTTGTAGTATCAATAGGATATGCTGGGAAAAAGAAAGCTAAAAATTAGCTGACCCAGTGATTCACATGATTTGAAAGATGAAGACATGATAATGCCAAATCCTGAATCATTTGGCTTTACAGAAAATGTCACCTTTCAAGTCAAACTGGTTTTCTTGATCAGGAAGTGATCTTGTGGGAGTAAGAACACTTTTCCTCACCTCACAGTTTCTGAGAATAAAATGTATGGATAATGTTCTTATCCCCTTTGGCCTTCCTAAAAGTTCCCCACTGCTGAGACCTCTTTGTGCAGACCTGAGCCAGAGTTAGACACCTCGCTCAAGGGTTTATAAGTGCTCTGAACTCTAGAGAATTCAGAGAAAAGCCATCAGGTTGATGAAAGAATTAATGAAGCAATAAAGAGCAAGACGCAAGAAACTATAATTGCATGGAAAATGGGCAGGGAATCTTAATACACAGTAGCAAGAATAGCAACAGGCTATATCCTTCCATTCCTCTTAAGATGGTGAAAGAATTAACAAATTAAAACCACCAAGTTAATACTAAGAACTCCCTAAGAATTTAAAAGGTGTTGGAGTCTTCTTTGATCAGTGTTTCAAAAAGGATCCTATGACATCTAATGGTTGTTTTATGAAGTGCTTGATCTAAACCACCTGAGTCCTCTACCACCATATGAAAATCTTTCTCAGAAAATTTAACATAACTCTTTATTACTGATTTAATCACCATAACAATTTTAGACCAATTCTGACATACCATTTTAAGAAAACATAAGACAAGCTTATTTTTTCTTACATTTTATAATTATCCTTACCTGTCCATGGGTATCACCTGCAGACTTGCCAGCCTCAAATTTTAACGCCAACCCAAAGTCAGCAATGCAAGCTGTCAGATTGTTTTTCAACAGTACATTTTTACTTTTGATGTCCCTTGCAAATAGAAAAACAAAATATTTAAACTATGTTTAAACAAGTTATCTTTTAAAAGTTTTTATTAAAAGTGGGAAAGAGGAAGAATGTATGCTATAAAAGAATAGTTATTTAAAAATATGAAATGCTGAAAAAAGGGGAAGGAGAAAAAGCTCAAGCAGAGCCCCATGTACCCTGAAGCACAAAAGAACAGTGACAAACTCCTATTGATAACATGGACAGTAAGAAAGAATCCTCTCCATAAAGCAGTTTTATAAAGAACTGTCATTCCAAAAATACATGTTTATCTATGTCACTCCCAACTACCAATCATAAAATTTCTGTTTTTTAAGATATTTCAGAGTTTATAGTTACAAACTCCCATAGAAACTAAAATTAAAAGGCCAAAGTAAAAGAATTTTCAAAAAAATTGCTGAACTGGAGCCTTTTGCCTATTAGTACAGACCTACATTTTACAATGGTCCCTTACTGTAGTGGTTCTTATATTCTTCCACTTGGTTGTAGAAAAGCATCTTTAGGAATGTGTAACAGATAAAAATGTCTTACCATAAGCATATTCTGCTCTAGCTAGATCCTGGTGTTCTGAAAGAGTAATTTTTAAGGCAATAAGACATCTTCTTCTATACACACGTCTCAACTGGTTCATCTTAGGGATTACTATACCCTAGCTAAATACACCTATGCCATGACCAATGGTGGGGCAAGGAAAAATCCGGCAAAAGGCATGTAGGAAGGTGAGAAGAAAGGGGAGCTGTTTCTGAGGTAGGAGTTTTTTAAGGTTTGCAAAATCAGAATCTACGTTAGAAGTGGATTTACAGTAACACCTCTTAGCAACCTAAAACACCACCTGGTGGCACTCAACTAAGTATTTGTTCAATGAATCAGTTAATGCCCATTTTAAAAACAACAATCTTTAAATTGAATACAACATGACAAATTGAATCGCATGTTCAAAGAAATTAAATACATAGTAAACTGAATCTCATGTTTAAGGAACAAACATTTTTTCTTCTGAGGGTGTAACAGTTGTTGGGTCTAAGTACTGTTTCTTCAGTAAACAATTGCTTAAATGATGTCTCCCTATACCTTAGTTTGGGGTAAAAGATCAGATGGTGATTCAAAAAATAAGCAAAAAAAGATATCATTAGCACCATTCCAACCAACTGAGCTAACGGGTCACTCTCGGAAAGATATTAAAAAAATCTCTCCTTAATTACATCTCCTTGTACCT